AAATATCTAAAAATAAGTATTTTCTAGTTTTATAAATTTAAATTTGCATGATTTACTATACAACGACTAAGTCACGTCAATCCTCAAACACACCACCTAAATTCATAAGTAACTTAACTTTTAAATTCACTAATATAGAAGCAAGTTTAACATCCAACATTCCTACATCCTATAATAGATCATGCACATAATTCTACTAGTTGATAACTAGGCCCTCAAAAGAACAGACAACCTCAATGTTTAGAAGATACCAAAGTTGACTTAGATCTTTGATTGTCACTTTACTTTGAAAATGATCTTAAAATTAGAGATATCTTGTATATATCACCTCTCAAAATAATGTAGCCTACAATAGTATGACAATAGAACATAGTAAGGTCAAAAGTACTATGATGAAGACTATTAAAAAGCTTGAACCAGCTTTTAGGAATAACTAAACTAAGTCCAAGGAGATTGCTTCAGCCCATAAATATATTTCAACATATAGTACACAGAATCTAGTGAGTCAAACCAAAATAAGATTAAAAGGTTGCTCCATAAACACTTCCTCCTCAAGATCCTCATGAAGTAAAATATTCTTCACATCCAACAAGTAAAAAGGTCATGAGAAATAGACCACAAACACCAACAAGATATGAATTGAAGTTTCATCACTAGGGAGAAAGTCTTAGTATGACTATTGATGTGACTTAGTCATTGTATAATAAATCATGTAAATTTAAAATTTATAAGACTAGAAAGTATTAATTTCTAGAAATATGAGAGAAAGTAATTGAATATAAGTTTTTATTCTAGCAGTATTCAAAGCCTCACTAGTCGTTCACCTACATGAGAGAGAGAGTAAAATAAGCACACAAATACCCTTAAAAAGTAACGTCATAAAAATATCTCCTTATGATAAATAAGAGGTATTTTAGGTATTAAAGTTATTAAAACTTTGTAGGAGGTTGTGACGATTTAGTCTCACAATGATTATATGTCAAGTTTTAAAATAGATACATAGTAATACAAGATTTGGTAATCAATGTGTCCCTTTCTTGTGTGTACACAACCACTCCTTACCCCATGCCTAACTAGCCACTATTGACATGGAAGAGAAGTGACTCATATGTATCTACTATCGATTTATCTTTAACTACTTGAGTCCTTGCTCGTGGCTCCACTTAAATATGCTTCCAACTAACTTGCAGGCCTAGCTAGTTGGCAAGTTCTCTCTCCCCTTTTTTACCTTTTTATTTTAATTTATTTCACTTTATTTATCTAAAAAATAAGATTATAAAAATTAAATAAATTCACATAAAATCACATAATTAACTAAAAAATTATAGTAACTAACTAAAATTACTTTTCACAATTTAACACAAATATAAGTCTATTTACATGAGTTAAGGTTAAAAATATATTATTAATTAATTATTAACTAAGTATTAAGTTATGATAATGAAGACTTATTATATACCTCAAATTTAATCTCTTCTCTAATTGTTCTTCGAGCTACATTAAGGTATTTATATACTCCTAAGGAGCAAATTTTGTATTAATGAGCATTGGCCAACATAGTGGCAATGTGAAAGTGATGGCCCACTTCTCCCATCAGATTCTCACTAGAAGTAAAGCATTTTTATAACCATCAGATGAAAGCTCTCTTTTCTCACAAGCTCTAAAAATCAGAGGATCAACTAATCTACTCCCAGAAAAATGAAGAGTCCAATGACAAGAATAACAAGGAGAACGACTCCTAAAATCAGTTTTCTTCACTAGAAAAATGAGGGAATTCCCCCACGAGTGGGCTGCTGCTCTTCTCCAGGAACAAGAGAAGAACAATGACGAAAAAACTCTAAGACTTGCACCAGAAAACAAGAGCAGAAACACACAAAAAACTATGAGAAAGGAGAAGAGAGACTTTTGATGGCACCATATGAGAAAGCTTGAAGAAGAGAATAAGACAAAGATAGAAGATATCATGAATGCCACTCACCTTTGACATCGAGGAAAGAATAAGGGGATAAGGACAAGGAAGAGAAATGAGAATGGAGAATGAGAATGAGAATGAGAATGAGAAGAAAAAATAAATCATCCACACCACTACTACTGATCCTCTCGACAACAAGGAGAAGAAGAAAAAAGATGTTATCAGTTCAACCCTCCTTGATGTCATGTTGCAATCTAGAGACTAAGAAGTAGTTCATGAGAGTATTTAATTTGACAAATAACAGCTCCATCTGGTAGTTAATTGATTTTTAGCACGAAAGAAATTAGTTCTCCCATTATATTCATCTCAAATTCTCAATTATACAAATTTTAAAAATTGAATGTACATGTCATCATTCTCTAGTTTTGTTAGTATTCTATCCACACTAGTTTGTGACCTTAGTTTGAATCAAGAAGGAGATTAATGTGCCATACCAAGATTTGGGTGCTTATTTTAAACCATAGAGTACTTGATTTAACTTAAAACACACGTTTTGGAAAGCTGGGATCTGCAAAACCAGGTGCCTGATGTAGAAGTACTTCTCCCTTAATTATTCTATTTTAAAAGACACTTTCACATTCATTTAGAAAACTCTGAAATCTTTTGCACATGGATGGGCTAGAAGTAGTCTAATGGTATCTGACATGGTTGTCAATGCATATCTCATCATAGTAAGTTCCTTCTTTTTTAATATACCCTTAGACTATAAGTCGTGCTTTGTTTCTAATAAATTTTTCTTCTTCAGCTAATCTATTTATAGAAATATATATAGTTATGACTGCAAAATGAATTTTGGGTATTCCTGAAAGTGTTCAAACCTTACCCTTTCTAAGCTGATTTAAGTCCTCATGCATGTCCATCACCTAGTTATCATCCTCTAATGCATATTTATACAGTTTGGCTGAATTTCTGATCTAAAAACACTTGATCTACCTTCTTTTATAAATGAGGATGTAGTCTTGATTCATCATGCACTTCAACAATAATTTGAACTTTGAGATTATTCATAGTCAACATTCATTCTTTCACCAATGATTATTTTCTTTGAATCTTCTTTTTGAAGTCAGTCACTCTTCTTGATAGAGATATGATACAATTATGATCCATGTTTTCCTCATCCTGTGGAACTTTTGCTTTGGTATTTTTCAATGAGCTTCATATGCATTGATTCTTCAAAAAAAAATCCTTTAATCATACACTTCATAAGCCTTTTTAGTAATCTTAATACATCCCAAAAGAACACCTTCACCTCTCTTTGGGTCAACTTTTCCAATTTATTTTTCTTCATTTGCTTGGGATACTACATTTTCATTCAAATATTTTGATGTATATATTGTTTGTTTTTCTTCTTTTCAGCAGCTCATATGTTTTTTTCTTGAGAATGGATTTAATCATCACTTACTTTGTTATATGGCATGCTATGTTCTATTGTACCACTAATGTCGGTACAAGAGAAAAATAGTTCAATGAAAAGTATGACATTGAGATTGCAGGGAGATAGCAAAAGTACCTTTTGCTACAGCAGTTAGAACGGCTGGGAAATTAAATGTTGGCTATCAGGTTATGTGCTTCTTAGACTACTCTAAAACAAATTCATTAACAGTATAAAGATGATATCCATTTTATTTCTTAAAATAATTTAGTGACTTTTGTTGGATTGCCTTTGACTTCAGAAGACGTTCATAGATGCCCATTCTCTCACACCCATTCTCCTTTCACATCTACTTATATGTATATGCATCCAATAATTACTTTTAGATTATTATCTCTCTCAATGTCCATCCCAACCTATTTATCAGTCCTATTACAAGATTTCTGTATGCGTTTCTCCCTTTCCAGCTGGCTGTGAACCCTTTCAATACGCCGACATCATTTACGGGTCTGTAGCAAGAGTGACCACTACCAGTTAGTCCATGGCCGACCGCAGTCTATACGCCACAAGAAGTTGTCGTACTGGCACTTTTCCGTAATCTGTCCGCCATTCAACGTGTCTGCAAAATCTTCTTTGACCAAGCTCCATCCACGAACCAAAGCACCCTCACAGAAGAATGAAGACGAAGAAGAACAGGATGATGAAGTTCTTGCGTCAGACTCGAGCTTAACAGTAAGCTTTGTCTTCGGCAGGGACTTGATCACTATCCTCTCAAATCCGGAGTCATTTTACCTCTAAATATTCCTTCAGGTCACTGTAATATAGAAGGATGGACCTCTTGAGCGTTGCTACCTCATATATTTTTATCTATGCATTATGATTGATTCTGAACATATGGGGATGACTGTTCACGAGTATCAGTGAATCCATGAAAAGAATATATATCAGATTTTACATTAAATGTTATTATCCTGATGCAAGATCAGGAGGAGGAGCAATTTGAGGGGCGATGGCAGTGACTCACTAATGTTTGGAAGCACCGGAGGCGCCGGCGGTAAAGACGGCACTAAGTCCTTGACAATCATTAAAGGCAAGTGAGCCCAATTCCCTTCAATTGATGTATCATGAACGATGGATCCCCGTCTGATCAACAACGGCCATTAGAGTTACCTCGACAATCGTTTTTTCATTGATGAATGAAAGTCGAGAAGCCATTAAATAATCCTTACCAGCTCCAAAGTGTGGATAGAAACACTTCTCAATAGATAAACGAGGACGGAAACATCCATCTTATGACTCTAATGATGCAGGGTGTGTCCCCTACCACATCATCCCTACATTTTAAGGATCGATTTCCGGAAGGAAATACCGTTAATCGCAGCGAGGGAGAGATTCCTTCTCACAATCAATGTCAAATAAAAGCGACTTTTAACACGTGTTGGCACTTGTCCCGCCTTTTCGACCTAGTTTACCCAGCTCAGCTAGCTTTGATTTCCCTAATATTAAGTCCTGCCTTATTCTATTGTCTATTTACTCGGGATTGTCCTGAAATTCACATCCACCTAGTCCACCCCATTTTAGGCGTCGGGGAGTCATGTGACGCCTATAAAACGACCAGTTTAGACGCTTCCTCCCATCATTCTAAAGAACTCCATCATGAGATGCCTCAGAGCCCTCGTCTTCTTTTTCTTCTTCATCTCCCCACTAAACCCCATGTCCACCGCCACAGTGCCGCCGTCCCCCCGGATAAAGGCCGTAAATTTGGGCGGCTGGCTCGTTACCGAGGGATGGATAAAGCCATCTCTCTTCGATGGGATCGCTAACAAGGATCTCCTGGTGAGTCTTCATATTCTTACATTCCATCGGTTGGTCTGCTACCGACCCATCTTGAGCTCGGATTGAATGGGCGGCAGGATGGAACCCAAGTCCAGCTGAAGTCTACCGCCGTTGGGAAGTACCTCTGCGCCGAGGGCGGTGGCGGGAGCGTCATCGTGGCTAACCGGAGTAGCGCCTCTGGTTGGGAAACCTTCAAAGTTGGTGATTTCATACCCCTCATTACTGATAGTTATTAGAATGACGGATGATGGAGAAGAAAATTGGCTGACCTGATGATTCCGCATGAAATCACAGTTATGGAGGGTCAACTCGACCCACTTCCAGTTCCGGGTGTTCTCGAAGCAATTTGTCGGCATTAATGCCGGCGGCAGCGCAGTGACTGTGGCAACAACGCCGGGCCACTCGGAGACCTTTGAGATCGTGAAGAATACGGGGGACTCCAATCGAATCCGCATCAGGGCACCCAATGACCTCTTCTTGCAGGCCAAGTCGGAGAACTCGGTGACCGCGGACAACGACGGAAATGGCAGCTGGGGAAATGACGACCCGTCGGTGTTCTTGATGACGACATTTGGTACCATGCAAGGGGAGTACCAGGTGACCAACGGCTATGGGCCCATCAGAGCCCCCGCGGTCATGAGGGTGAGGAAGAAGACGTCTCCCCTCCCCTCCCCTCTCTTCCTTCTTACTGAAGAGATACACGTAAACGATGGCTGCTTTGATGTTTCTGTCACAGAATCACTGGGAGAGCTTCATTGTTGAGAAGGACTTCAAGTTTATGAAGGACAATGGACTCAACGCCGTTAGGGTTCCGGTGGGGTGGTGGATCGCCAGCGACCCTAATCCGCCGGCGCCATACGTGGGCGGGTCCCTGGCGGCTCTGGACAACGCGTTCATGTGGGCAGAGTAAGCGAAATTAAAGCTCTGATACAGAAAGGGTCCCTAGCGAATCGGACCCAGGAAACTTCCCCTTGTTCGTGGACGATTAAAAAGACGTTGTGGTTTCCCTGTGTCCAGGAAGTACCACCTGAAGGTGATCATCGACCTCCACGCCGCCCTCGGTTCCCAGAATGGTGATGAGCACAGCGGCGGTAGAGACGGCAGCATCGAGTGGGGAGTCGCCGGTAGCGGCAACGTAGAAAAGACAGTGACTGTCATCGAGTTCCTCACCCGGAGGTTCAAAAGTTGATACAATGGATAGTAAAGTTGACACTCGTATGATCGGAGAAACTATTCTAATCGCGAAAAGTCCGCTGGCAGGTATGCCGCAAGACGCAGCCTGATCGCGGTGGAGCTCATCAACGAACCGAGGGCAGAAGGGGTCGACTTCGATACCCTAAAGAGCTACTACCAAGCCGGCTACGACGCCGTGCGCAGGCACACAAGTACCGCCTACGTGATCTTCTCCGCCCGGTTGTCCGCTGACGCGGGGGAGTTCATTCCGTTTGCCAGAGGTCTCGACGGCACCGTCCTCGACGTTCACTATTACAACCTCTTCTCTAGCATCTTTGATGGATGGACGGCGCAGAAGAATATCGACTATGTGAACAACCAGAGGGCCAGCCAGCTCGCCGCAGTCACCAACCCCAACGGCGGCCCCCTCTCCTTCGTCGGTAAGAGTCCCGACGGCCGACCCTCTGTGAACCTCGGAACAGCTTATCTTCCATCTCACACCATTCTCCGTTGCCGTCGCGGCCACAGGGGAATGGGTTGCCGAGTGGAACGTGAATGGTGCGATAGCAGACGACTACAGGAGGTTTGGGGAAGCGCAGCTGAATGTCTTCGGTAGGGCCTCCTTCGGGTGGGCGTACTGGACCTACAAGCACGTCAACAAACACTGGAGTCTCCAATGGATGATCACCAACGGCGTCATATCCCTTAAGTAGAGAATCGCTAAGAATGCAGTTGTCAACAGAATAATGGCGAGCTGTCCTCTCCGCCACTGTATTGCTGTATGGCATTACCTTCACTGAAACAGACTTGCCGGCAAACACAAGGGTTTTACCCAGACTAACTGGAACATTCAACACCCCTTGGCGGCAAACACGAGGGTTTTACCCTCCCTGCCCCACTCACAGACTCTCTTTGACACCCCTCTATATGCGCGGCCTAGCCTTCCATAGCTCCGGAGAAACCCCATAAACTTCCCACAACATGGGTCCGACGACTTGAGCACTATATGGCAGAGCCCCACTGATGGGCCGGTATGGGCACCCACATGCGTTGGTATGTGCAGCTTGATACGACCTATCTATGTGCAGTACGGCAGAACTTTCTCATAGTCCATGGTATGGCGTGTGGAATGGCATGCAATACCTATGGATGTGCATGACGTAGGCAACTCCCATGGCATCGACTGTTGTGGGCGAGATGCAATAGAATATTACCTTCGGCATCATGGCTTGCACTGTAAGAAAGAACATACATAGTATGGTATAACCTTGCTGCTTGTAATCTATGGCTAAACTTTTTAAGAGTATTTGGTTAGATGCAGGTGTATTGTGCATCTGTCCTCGAGAATATGAGCATTTTTGGTGTCTTTTATGGCCTCTTTTTGTCGAAATCTAAGGGGTTTCTTTTTATCCCCGGGGCCAATTTTGCAGGTACCCCTGGAAGGTTTCAGTGCGCTGCAAGGAATTTCTGGTCCTCAGAGATTTCAGATACACAAGGCATATGGGAGTACGAGTCACCTTCCTTCGGCACATACATGGTAACTTTCTACGCTCGGACTCCGCTTTTCTCCCTCCTCTCCTCCTTGAGCCCCGGCTCCCTTCTCCTGGCCTGATGTTGTTGCTTTGGATTGCAGCTTCAACCAGCCGGACATGCCCGAGTACACCTCCAAGGGACAGCTGCAGGAGAGGCTGCTTCTTGCCATTCACGAGGCCAACGAGGGATTCGGCTTCCGTTAGAGGGGGCCGACATGTTTGCGTTGGGCTACTGTAGATATTTGTCCTGGCGTCCGGTTGGGGGGCGGGCGAGGGGCTCTGATTGAATGAGTGATTCAAAACTAGACGACGAACAGGAGTATATTTGCTGTACAGTTTCTTCTGCTCTCTCTCTCTCTTCAAATGCACCTGGACAGTTTTGTTTTCGCCTGCCAAATTTGAGGCATGTGCCCCACCTCTCTCTCTCTCTCTCTCTCTCTCTCTCTCTCTCTAGCAGTCCCTGTGCAGACGCCGCGAGAATCGTGCCATGTGTGTGCGCTTCTATCTTGCGGTCGTCCAGAGGGGGTAATTGTTAGGAAATCTCTTCGCGGTCAGAGCCCCGGGCTCAGGGTCCGACTCGTAGGATTGATCGTTCTCCGGGGTGGTTCGGTGCAGGGGCGCGTGGGAACGCAAGCAAGCAGCTTTCCCACGCTCCCGCCGAGTATCCGCGTGCGGGTGGTATCTCCCTGTTTCCATCGCGTCCTGCTGTATCCTGTTCTTGAAGCCACCGATTTTATTGACGCAGTAGGTGTACTGTTTTGGGGGGAGGGGGGGCGACTACTCATGCCCCGACAGAGATGGCGGGGGAGCGATAGAAACGGCCGGCAGAAGCGTCCACCGCCGGGAGCGAGATTCGCGAGGGTCCCCGGTGCGGGGGTCGTACTTGTCTTTCCGGCGAAGACCAGCTGTGGCGCCGGGATTTCTGGGGCCGTCGGGAGGCGGGAGAGCACGTGAGAACCGAGGACATCGCAAGGGTCTTCTTGATGTCTTGATGAGAGAGAGAGAGAGAGAGGAGAGGAGGGAGGGAGAGAGGAGCGTTCGTTCATCATCCAGGGGGGCAGCAAGCAGGATAGAGGGGAGAGGGGTTGGTCTTGTTGGACCAACCCTCACGGGAATCCGGACACGGCCCACCCCTACCCCTCACGAGCCGAGGAGAAGACAGAGACTCCATGGCAACAACACAAGAGATGACAATTAAAAGTAGTAATTTTACATTGAGTTGCTTTTTCTAAGTGCATTACGGTGGCATGAACACTCTAGCAAGATAATTGAGCCTAGACTCATCTACCTAGAAGCAAGCATCTATAGTTGACCAACGATTGCAATGATCAATATTAGGGCAACCAACAACTTTCTCTTTAAGATAGAAGCATCTCGAGTATTAAGGTTGTCAACTCGATAACATGTACCTTGATTGGTGTTATGTATGTATGAAGCCCAGCTATAGGTTAAGATGTGGAAGGTTGTAGTGGACTTCATGGTGCTATTGATGGATGACCATGATGTAATCTTATAGATGCAAGAAAGTGGATGCATCACAACAAATGTGCATGCAGCATGCACAATAGATGACGTGAGCAAAATTGCACCAAAGAGGTTTGCTTTAAACAAACTGTATAGCTTCAACAGTGGATGAATCATGCCAACAAAGTCAACCATGCATGCAATTGGCAGGTGCACAGTGTAGGAAGACTTATGTGCATAAAGTATTGGTACAAACCCAATGGGAGCACATGTAGACGTGGCATGCATAGCCAGAGAGGCTAGTGCACATATAACACACTTGCCAGGAGTAGCTCAAGTACTAGAGGAGTTCCAAAACAGGACAAGGCGAGTCAAGGAGAGTCAAGGAGCTCTAGCACAAATAGAGCTCAACAAAGACCCGTTGATGAACATGTTGAATTTGCCACGTGGGGAAGGAACGAGGTTCCAAGATGCAGTCAATGGTGAGGATGTGACATTCCTCACATAGGAAGTTCTCCCAACATTGAGAATTCCCATCCCTTGTGTCCTAGTATGTTTTGACACAGTGGTGAGGCTGCTTGACATAGTCTAAGCAACAATCAAAGTCAGCACAAGGGTGTGAAAGTCAATAGTCTTAGAGGGACCCCGGTAAGTCAAACTCGTAGACCATGGGCTGACAAATTGATCTTAGTTTTATTTAATAATGGCTTCATGCAAGATATTATGAATACCACACCTATCAAATTTTATTGTAATTGCATCTTTGTAGTTCTGATTATGCTGATGATATTCTTTCTAGTTCAATACGTGGAGATTTGTGTAATAGATTGCTAGATATGATGAAAGCAGAATCTAAATTGATTGTGATTGTGAGCTATTTTTGCATTATAATATTAATCACACAATTAGATGCTTACTGTTTTATGCTTCATATAGAACTATTGAATGGAAAGTAAAATAAATTGGATACATCTTACTATAGACTTCAACTATAAATTTAATTTGTATAGTTTGATTAAAAAGGTATAGTAAAATAATTAGTTGATCATTGTTCTTTACATCTAGAAAATCAATATCCTAGTCAATATTTGATTATTTTTCTATCTCAAAAAAAATCCAAAAGAATCCTAATTGGCTATTTCCAAGATATAATTTTTATCATCCAATAGATATTGCTTATTTTGGAATTAGATATCTCAAAAGTAAAGATTTTAAATTGGTGGGATTTTGTTGTTGCGATTTTAAAGAGGATAGAAAGAGCATCTGTCTCTTGTGTAATTGTAGGTCAATCTTTGATATTATGATCCCTAAAAGACAAGGATGAGTCGTTTTGTTTGGTAGAACAATAAAATATTCTATGGATGAACTTTGCACTTAATAGATATAATGAGTTAAATGACAACTTGATGACTTAAAATGATGATCAATAGGATCTTCGTTCCCATGATAATACTAATGTCCTCAATTCAACTAAAATCTTGTGATTAACTATGGGGATAACCATGTTTGTGTCACCCACTATTTCATTGGAGACATGCTAACATTAATAAAATTGAAGTGCATTTTATTGATACTGTGAACTAACTAATTATCATTTTTACAATGTCTTTACAAGAAGATGCTCATTATTATACGACATGGGTGACCATACAAAGGTGTTTAAAACATATTTTCAATTAACTTACAATACTACAGCATATTTTATAATGACATTGATGATTTAAATCAAATGCATGGCTTGGAGATACATATGATTTTATGCAAAGAAATAAAATAATTTGATCAAAATTATTTCAGTTCTTATCTCATCTTTAAAAATATGAAGAAATTTAATAAAACCTCCTTTCTAGTTAAATTTTCACATTGTAGAACCATAAAGCTGATAGTAGTCAGAGAAATGCTTGAATTTTGGTTCTTCTGCACCATGAAGCTAAATTTTTGTTTTTTTTTTTTTTAGCTTGAATTATTGGCCTGAATCTTATTATGGGTAGCAACACACTACGAAGAAAGCAGGCTATGCCTGCGCCTCACCCCTTCAAGGTATGGCGCTCTGGCAAGGTCAGGTGTGCCCCAGGGGAGTGAAACGAGGCCGTTTAGATGGAGGGAAATTGCCGGAAATCTCCCACCAGGGGAAACCGAGTCAGGAATGCATTCCAGTTAGAATCTAGAGAGAAAAATAAATCCACGACGTGAGCAGAACCACCCGGGAATCCGTCTCATCTTGGCATCCGCGGAATAGATTCCACAAAAAGAGGGATACTCCGAATAATCTATGTTCATAAAACTATACAACCTACATTAAATCCAACCAAAAGGAAAATAACTCATTGACAAAATGCATTGCAAGAAACTGGCAGAAATCACCGATTGGGGCACTGGGCAAACACACATCTCTGACGTGGGCCGTCTGATTCAACCAGAACAAAGAAGTATATATTTGGATCTTAGGGTAGCATGGGTGCAATCATATAAAATATATGAAAACACAGGTAGATGGATGCATATGATTTGCCTTACCACTATGTTTCTCCTCATTTCCTTCAAATGGTTTTCTAGTTATGATGAACACACGGCTGGATCAGGCAGACGGCCGGCAGCTGTCGACTGGGTAACTCTGAGAGAGAGAGAGAGAGAGAGAGAGAGAGGAGGCGGGGATGTTAAGGCCAGATCTGTAAGGAGAAAAACAGGGGAAAAGGCAGGATGATTGGGACTAGAGGGGTGGTTAATCAACTCAAAGCAGGGGATTTTATGAAAGATGCACACCAGGTGGGCAATTATCCTCGTCATGTAGGTCAGGAGATCTGAAAGGTGGGAGATTATTCGTGATGCAAATGATGCAGATGATCGGGGGAGAAAAATCAACACTAATAGATAGAGCAAACAACCATCAACAAGCATCCACCAGCCAGCCTTAAGTTTTGAAATACTTCCGGGATCGTTGCTCTGATTCGTTCTTCAGAAGGGAAGTAAAGCAAGAAGACGGGTATCACAGATGCCCTATCTTGATTTTCGATTCCATAATCAATGAGTAATAAACGGGGGGGGTTACATGCAGGAAGAGATCATACAACTGATGCATCAGGAAGTTTAAAACAGCGTAAGAGCAGCAGAAAAACGAGAACCCATCAACAATATCTATGCAAATATATCAGAAACTAAGAGAACAAAGTAAGCCCAAGATCAGTAAAGAAAGGGGATGCACGGGAGAAATGAATGATCAAAGGGGGAAGGAATGGAGGAAGAGACGTGGAGGATTCTAACAAAGAGTGCTAATTCTAAAAGGCATAAATCTCTCACGTTTTTACACCGCGAAGGACCTTCGCCAGAAACATTCGGAGGAGACACCACCAACCTGTCATTTCGAAGACAGAAGCACCTCCGGCTTCCTCGGCTTGCTGGGTGTGTTCGGATTAGAGGACGCGGTAGCGGCGGCCATTGCAGTCTCCCTCGCCCTCTGATCCAGCTGAATCAGGCTCCGGGATGCCAGGATTGCTTGGGGAAGGAGGTCATGAGATACCCTTCCATAGATGTACCTGACGGAAACGGATGCCGCATCCCTGACCTCCGGCGGGTTCAGCGGGGCCAGCAGGCAATGCCCCAGGATTCTCAGCACCGGCTGCAGCAGCTCCCATGGGAAAGGAATCCTTGACCCTCTGAAGACCCTTGCTCCACCTTCCTTGGGAGAGCCACCCCCGAGCTTCTCCTCAATTCTCAACCTCTCCATCACCGTCCTGCAGTTCCCGGCCTCGTCCCCGTCCTCCGAAAGTGCCCGGCCATCCGAGGAAGGAGACGGAGGAGGGTGAAAGCTCCCAAACAGTTCCAGTTCGTCCCGACCGGAGTAGTACTCACCGGCCCAGGAAGCGGCGAACTCGCAGAGATCCACCTTGGACGAGCTCGGCATGACCGAGATCCTCTTGAAGTAGCAGTCCAGAGCAACGGCCACGATGCAGGCCCTCTTCGTAGACTTTACCACAGTCTGCGGCTCCAGAGGGGGCGACAGGATTCCCACCGTTGGATGGGGTTGGACGGGGGCCGAGATCTGCGGCGACCTTCCGCCGCCGCCGCTTGCTGCGCTGCTCCGCGTCGTGTGGTAGAGTGACGGCTGGGACAGATCCGGTACATGGATCAGGAGGGGCTTCCCGCCGCGAGCCTTGGTCTCCGCCGCGTAAAGGGAGAGGAGGACGGCCTCGAAGCCAGCAAGCGATGGAGATCCCGCACCGGCAGAGGAGTATCCCGCCACCACGCGGGAGAGGTAGAGACCGGAGATCAGAGGGACGAAGGAGAGAACCACGAGCCGCAGATCCGGATCGGGAGACTGGTAGGTTTCGTACAGCCACTGGCAAAGAGCGTCGTCGCCGGAGCCGGACGAAGGACGAGAAAGGGCGTTGGAGACGGCGGCGTAGGCACCTGCAGAGTCGAGGAGGGACTTCGCCGGTTGGTCGGAATCGGCGAGGGCGGCCAGATCGGCGGCGGCAGCGGAGGAAGGGCCGAGCACAGCAGAGAGAGACTGGATGCGGGACCTCGCGCGGGATAACGACTCCCACCACGACTGCATCGAATTCCCGGTCAGATTAGGGTTGGAGCTGTGGTGGTGCTGGTGGTGCGCCGCCAGGGAGGGAGACGAGCCCGCAGATCCCTCGGCATGGTTCTTAGTGCCCGCCACTGGCTGTATCTCCATCGGAAGCCGCCGATCCGGTTCCTGAAGAAGAGATCCTCTCCAGCAATGAAGGCCCCTCGCCGCCGGGAGCCGGCGGTGGCGATGGCGGTGGCGGCACGGCGGCGCTGAGGATGCTCCTCTCTCTCTCTCTCTCTCTCTCTCTCGCTCTCTCTCTCTCTCCCCCACTTCTACACCGAAACTGAGAGACACAAACATAAAATGGGCCACATTAATGGCCAGATTGGGCTTCCGTCCAATAACATTCTGACAGTGCGCAAGTTTGAACGGGCCGGGCTTGCCCGGATTCTCATAACGCCCAGCCCAAAATTCGGGCCCCACAGACATTATTTTATGCAAAAAACCAAATATTTATTTTTACTTAGGATTTTACTCGATTTTACTTTTCATTTAACACATTATTGGGTATTATTATAATATAATTATGCCCAGTGTGTGTACCCAAGTTGGGTGTCATTATATTTTCTTCATTCCTAGTACAACCATACAAACATTAATTTAGCAGACTAGGTAATGCATTTTCTAGTCAACCAAAAAGTCAACCAAGCAATTTCTATTAGCGGACTAATTGGTTTCTAATCCCTTTATAATCACCAAATAGTAAGCATTTTCTAGTCAACCAAGAACAAGTCATAAGCATTTTCTACTACCAGATTAATTGGTTTTTAATGCTTTTATAATCATCAGATGCTGACAAAAATATTAGTCAACCAAAAAGTCAAAAGCATTTTTCTATTACCAGATTAATTGGAAAAAAAATTTAATCATCACATATTGACCATTTTCAAGTCAACCAAGAACAAGTCATAAGCATGTTCTATCACTAGATTAATTGGTTTCTGATGCTTTTATAATCATCACATCTTGACCATTTTCTAGTCAACCAACAACAAATCATAAGCATCCTGTACCAATTCAAGAACAAAAAAGGAAAGATTCTTGGGACATCCTGCTAGCTAAGTAATTAATAGTAATAGCAAGAATTAAGTGCATTTATGCCATATTTAGATTATTGGATATAAAAATAGGCAAGAATTATAATTATAGACCATGATTGTCGGATTCAATTCATATGATAATTTTTACAATCAAATATTTAATTTATAAATAATAATAATCATCATCATCATCAACAACAAAGTTACACACCAAATTTTTAATCATTTGGCCTTTCTTGACCCTACATCCACCATCTGAAGACTGAGGCTTTACCTGGTGCTTATGTGTTGACTTTCAAGGTCGACGACTTACTAGATTTCAGCTCCAACTTATTTATGGAGGTGTTGTATCATGATGCTTGAGTTGACTTTTACTTGTGGACATCAAAATTGTTAAGAAAATCCTAGTTTCGTGTGATTTCTTGACTCATAGGTTGTGGATGTGGGTTGACTTTTTCTTCCATTCTAAGGAGCCGAGAGAGAGAGAGAGAGAGGGGGGGGGGCGGGTGCGGGTATAAAATAAATAAATAAATAAATAGAATGCTGTTGTCATCTGTTTTGGGCTCCCACAAGTCCAAATGGGGCCACAAAACCTGAACACGAGCCTAGATGCATTGGCCTGAAATTAATAATATAATATTCAATAAAAAAATAAATATCATCCACGCGCAAGGCCGACCAGAGAGGAGAACCCCGGGGATTCCAGTCGAGGATCTGTGGCCGTCGATCTCCTAGATTTTTCTCCTCCCTCCTCCCTGCTCAGGGAAGAGAGCGAGAGAGAGAGAGAGAGAGAGAAGAGGGAGAGAGGGCATTGAGAAGGTGGCGTTGCTTCATCTAGTCATGAACCTACGCTTGGCGCCCTACTTCTAGGAGAGGGAAGGGGAATTCCGGCGGATCCGCCGCCGGATCCCCAACGTCATGCGGCGGCGGTGGCCTCGACCTCGACGGAGGTCCCGGCCTCGACGTCGTCCTTCCTGGAAGCGACGGAGCATCTCTCCTTCCTCTCGTCCAGGTTCATCCTGCGCTGCCTACACTCCATGCTGCAGAAAGCCACGTCTCCCCTGATAGACACCACCCGAAGCTCTCAGGGAGAGGATCCACGGCCTAGGGATTCCCAGGGAGCGGAAAGAAGAACTCAGAGCGTGAGAAAGAAAGAGGGATTCATTCACCTGTACATGAAGGTGTCCTTCCCGGGGCCGAGGCGCCGCTTGCAGAGGCCGCAGATCCTCAAGAACGGCGCCGGCACCACCGGGGCGTCCATAGAGCTCCACCGCTGGATCCACGGCGGCAGCAGATGGGAGACTGGTGGCGCGTTCTCCGGCTGCTGCTGCCGCCGCCTCCTGTCGCCCGCCATCTCCGCCTTCAACCCTTCCGTCGCCGGCGCCTCGAACCTCGGGCGCTGTGGCGCCTCTCCCGAGTTGATCTCCAACAGACTGGTCGTCCTCTGCATCGCAGGCCGCGCCCTCTTCCCCAGCAACATCCTCCCTCTCTCTCTCTCTCCTCCCTCGAGAGCTCTAGCGGAGAGAGGAGAGAGAAGGGGAGGGGATCCTGGAGGAGGGGAGCCAAGAGGAAGGAAAGAACCCGGGATCTCTTTGCCTCTTCATGGTATTAAAGGGACGGACGAGTGGTGCGGAGAAAGTACGGAGGAGAGAGAGAGAGACAGACAGACAGAGGTAGAGAGAGAGAGAGAGAGAGAGAGAGAGAGAGACAGGTAGAGAGAGTTAGAGAGAGAGTTAGAGAGAGAGAGACAGAGAGACAGATAGAGAGGGAGAGGGACGCGGGTTGATGGTGGACGTGGAGGAGTATGGGCTAGAAGAATGGGGACTACGAGGATCCAGACGGGGGAATCTGGGCCGTCAGATCGGATCTCGAATTCGGAAAGCCACGTCAAGCTTTCCTTTTCGTTACTTTCGCTCGAATTTCTCGCCAATTTCTCGGCAAGCGGGTGGAGTTCTCAACCGCCGAGCTGAGGTTATAAATACCAACATGAGTATTCCCGTGGTACCATTAGAGATAATGTATTGTATTTTTGCCCCTACGTAGAAAATCCAAAATTTGTATAAAAATCACAGTACACTCCCCACTTACCTTCTATATTTTATAATATGTATATTATTGAAATTTTTTTACTAAGCAATCTCAATGTCTGCAACTCCTAGAGAGAGAAAGAGGAGAGAGAGAGAGAGAGAGAGAACACCATCACCATCACTTCCTTGTCAAAATCATACATCACATAAATCCAACTTTGTGATGTTGATGAATGTAACCATAGTTATCAAGATGATGACAAAATTATTCATAATATGAGAGAGAGAAGAAGAAAGAAACAATGGGTGATGAGGTAATTAATATCAAGACTATTTTTTAATGTTATCTATTAATTTATAATAAGAAAATTATTTTTTCTTTTCAAAGTTTTTGTCCATGTAGTACTATTTCCCTGATAAGAAATTTATTTATATAATGTAAAAAAATAATTATATATATATTTTTTAAAATTAATCATCCACCTTATCAACCGAATAGATTCTTCAATAATCGATCAAAAGAGGTATCACCCTCGAGAATAGTAGTACCCTCTAATTTTTCTCTAGAATGAAGGCTATATGTGTAAATGTAGGACTTTAAAGGGGATATTTTTAAAATAACATGTGGACGCACGCTGTGAAAGATCGCCGTCGCTGTTTTGTCGCCTACGAAAAAATGATTTCTTCGATCAGCGTGTCGCGATAACGCACTGCGATATCTGTCCATACACGCGGCTGTTCGTCCGTTCGTCATCGGACGGTCATCGCACGAGATGCTATCGTACTTTCGGGCAGAATCTTTGGGCCCACCACGCACAGATCGTCCATTCACGATCGGACGGTTCTAAGGAATAAAGAATAAAAACCTGGAATCCGACAACGTGGGCCCCATTTTTTGGCCTGGCCCTTGACACCTGGCCCCCCCAATACCCCCCCCGCCCCCCGCACCACCCGAATCGGATCCTTGCCGACTTCGAATCGGGTCGGATGAGAGCGGCGGTAGTAGAAGTGGGGCCCACACACGAGGAAGGACAAGGCCTCTTATCAGCGACGGCTTTTGTCCACCGCCGGAACCGGACGATGTTGGAACGGACGGTCAGATCGGAGTTCTATTCAATAAGAATATAATTTTATATAATTAGGCCGGTAGTTAGATTTAGTTGGATCAGGATTCGTCGATGTGGTTCACATCACCACCCTTCATCTCATGGTTTTCAGCATGGCTGGTCATCGTCCAACCCACAGTTAGAGACATTTTTATTTAAAGGACCCCCAGATAAATTGGATTGGACTTGTGCTGTCCAAAGAGGGCATTTAAACTATTTCAAAGGGAAAAAGGTCATTTAGTGGATCACATAAATGCCCCAAAAAGCAAATTGACGGGGCATATATCAAAGGTACCTGAAAAAAGGGCGACGTAACCACTGTCTCTCTCTCTCTATCAACCCCGCGCATATCCCGTTGGTCCACGTGGATGGTGGGTCCCATACTTTTGATTTCACAACTCTCTTCATCCTCATCCTCACCAAGTCCGCATCTTCCATTTCGGGCCACCCAGATCACGGGCTGGGACCGGCCCGCCAGCGAAACAAACGCCTTTAAAAGTCCTACTCATACTCCACGGGCCTGGATGCTTGGCCTATGCAGATAGTCAACTTCGGGGAAAACAAATCGGGCCGGGCTCATCACTAAATTAATTAAAAACCGAGCCGGGCTCGATCTTGGCTGTGGGCTAGCCTGGTTGGGCCCACCTTCGACGCCGCTACCACATCCTCCGCTTGCTCCATCCGCCGCGGAAAATTATGGTAAAAGTATTCTCCTTTAAAAAAAAACATGTGAGAGATAGAAAGGAAGCCTCCTCGCTCATCAGGCTCTCTTTTTCTCTCTGATTCTCTCTCCTGATTCTCTCTCTTGATTCTCTCTCTTCTCTCTTGGTGGCTGGTCAATGGCGGACATCCCGCTGTTCTGCTCCAGTTGCCTGGATCCGCGGGGGATAGCCTCTCTGCCGCCGAGGATCACCGCCCGATCGCCGGGAGTGGCGGCGGCACTACCGCCGCTGGCGCCGAGGAAGCTGCGGCTTGGGCCGGCGCACTGCATCGAGAGTTCGTCCTTTGCTGCCCCGGCCCCTCTGGAGCTCATCTCCACCGATGGTACTACAGCCCTCGTCGAGCTCTCCCCATGGGGAAGGGCGGATTTGGATTTCTGCGCGGACTGCGCCTCCTCTGCTGGTCGCCGTGGTGTGGCTGTTACTGACGCTGTGGCCGGTGGTGGTGGTTTCCGCAGTGTGCTCGGACGGCAGCGTCATCTTCCACTTCGGGATCGCCGGAGAGTTGGAGGAGGAGGCCGTCGGCGGCGAGGTGGAGGACGCCGCCTTGGAGGTCGTCCGCGAGGTCAGTGACGGTGGTGGGAACGATGCTGCGGACGGTGCTTTGGATGTGCTCGGATCCGGAATCGACGCGGTGGCGGGATTGGGGAGTGGGGAGGAGGCCAATTTGGGGATCGCGGTGTGTAGAATTCCTGCGTTGGTTGGAGCATTTCAGGCGGAAGGTGGTGCGGAAGCAGGGAGCTCTTCGCCTGCCGGCGAGGGGGGAGTGCTGGCGGGGGGAGACACCGTGGAGCATGTCGAAATTGTTGGGGAAGAAGAAAGTTCGTTTTTAATTGGTAATGGCGGCGTGGATACGGACGTCGGACTTGCGCAAGCTACCACAGAAATAGAAAAGTTACCGTCGGTGGGACGTGACGAAAACGAAAGGTATGGGACCGAAAGAGAATTGGACGAGAATATCCCAGAGGAGAGGGGCTCCTATCCCGGGTTGGGAAATCTCGAACCAGTGGAGAGGGAAGGGGGTACTGATGTGCCGTTGAAGGAGGTCGATGAGCCTTCTGCGGACGTGGGAATTCCCCCCCCTCCGATGGAGGTAAACCTGGAACAGGTAGTGGAAGGCAGCGGAAGATCAGAGGTTGACCTCGAGGGAGATGGTCAAACTGAGGAGAGCAGACTTGTCTCACCGAGGGAAGAGCTGGAAGAGCTTGTGCAAATCAGGAGAGGATCAGAGATTATTGCTGCAGGAGATTGTGGAATTGATGGTCTTCTTGACTCACAGAGTCGGGACTCGGAACGTCTGGTGTCGGAGGATGAAGGTGAGGGGAAGGAAAGTATGTCTGAAGCCGGTGAAGACCAGCAAGAGCTCAAAGAAGATGAGGTGGGGCTTCAAGACAACGATGAGGAAGGCATAATCGTCTCCCTGGTTGATCAGGAAGTGCTCCGAGATGAAAAGGTATCCGATTCAGACCAGAGAAGCTTAGAGAACTGTGATCTTGGAGATGTTACGGTGAACGCTGGGACTGTTGAGAACACGAGCCTAATGGATATGTCAAATGAAAAAGAGGATGCGGCAGAGCGTCCGGAGGATGATCAGGGCGATGAGATCATCTCCCAGGATGAGAATGAGGCCTCTGAAGATGAGACGATATCTGATGTGGACATGGAACGGATAGAGAAGTTGAAACTTCACGATGCTGATATGATCCCTACCAGAGTTGAGGAGATCAACCAGGAAGGAGTATTATTACAGGTCTGCTTTATGTTAATTGTTGCACTATGCTATTCTTTTAGCGCGATTGGAATAACAGACTTTATTTTTACCTTTTATTATTCTATTTTCTTGGATGTATACAGCATCAAATTAGGCTCTTACAGACCCTTTGATAAATCATTAAACCTGGTCTACAAACTATATGCTACTAGCAGACCTAGCAACTTGAATAATTCTGACAGGTTGCCAACGGTTTGAATATTTTTTCCTTTTATGTGTTTTCGTCAAATGACGAAGATATCTAAATACGGAGGAGAAGATAAAACCCATCTCACTAATCATCCGTTGTGAGGGCCCCGGTATCCCTAGGCTATGCCTCTCTACTCATTCATAGCTTCATGTGGAGAATGAAAAAAAAAATCAAAATTAGGCCATTTTCTATAGCCATAGGCTCTCCATATGTTCTAAAGACTATTAAAGCTTGCGTTCAATTTCCCCAAAGTCAATCCTCTCGGTGCCAAATAAAAGTTGGAGTCAAAGTCTGCCAGACTAGCCCAGAAAGATCTCATGTTCTATGGAAACTTAGGAACTGATGGCAGATGCAAAATTACTAATGGAATTATTGAGCAAACATGGTGTCCGGAGTTTTTCAATACTGCAATAATATTTTCCTATAATTTCCCTACTGTTTATTTAATTTTGATGACCGTGATCATGTACTACATGTTAGGATGAGAGAGAACGTTAACCTTGGTTTCTTTCCAGGCAGAAAATACAGAAGTGGTGGGAGGAGACGACAGTTTTATTGATGATGGTAGTGATGATGATTTGGCAGTTCAAGTTGCAGACAGTGGACGTACCTCTGTTCCAAGCGGGTGTGCATACTCTGTCCTTTTCAAGTTTTTTTGGACATAACCTGAATCTTATCTATGTGTTACTTAGCCCGAATCATATTTATGTGGCTTAACTATTAAAACCCCGGAATTTTAAACACAGAACTTCAGATTCCCATTAATATTAGAGTTGGGTAGGTAAAGGTTGACCTTTTTTTCGTTCAGTCCTCCTTCTCTTCATTCATCTTGTACGATTTTTAGCACCTTGGATCAGCAGTACTTACGATCTGAAAGTAAGTGCCCTGCTTTTCTTCTGCAACATACCCATGCGAAGTTCTAGGCACTTTTTCAGGGTCAATGGAGGATTTCGAGCAGGGTTATTTCTAAGTAGATTATTTATGCCCCACAGGTACTGCCTTCTTTGAAGAGACTGTTAGGAGGCTTCATTATAGCGTTTGCCATTTATTTAATATTTATGTATTTTTGTGAAGACTAGCCTTTCTAACGGGGAGAAATGGCCCAAAAACACATACACACAACAGATTAATTTTAAAAAACTTAATGCCACTTCTTTGAAGTCTACTGGTGAAACTAGTTACAGATATATCTTTTGAAACTGTCTCTCTGCATCAGAGCAACTTAATAAGGCTTGTAATGTCTGTCATATGTGAACCATCGCTGGTTTGAAATTTAAATCCCATACGCCTATGATTCATGCATGGCATATGAACTCATCTTTTAGGTTTTCTCTTGTGAACTCGGATTGTAGAGTGAAGTTGACGGTGTGCTACTGTTTATGCAATAAGAATAAATATTTCGTAGATCGCTGTAAACTTTCGTATCTCAATTTTTATTGCTTCTTCCGAGCTTCATATGACATTATATCGTTGTAAGCTCTCATGTCTGTTTTTTTTATTTATTATTTCTTCGAAACTAGGAATATGACATCATCAACAAAACCAAGATATGTTCTTTCCTCTGGTGCCGCAATGTTGCCACATCCCTCCAAGGTACTTTATCCGAGTTTAATTCCTCAGAATATGCTGTTCACTATTTCATTTTTCCTGAGAGACTGCTTCATCAGTCATTTTACATTTTTACTCCCACGCCCTGAATGCATGTTTGGGAAACACCATGCGCATTTATCCGTGAATATATTCATAAATAATATCGATAATTCCCATCAATGAATCCATCAATATATTGTCATGTATGTATTCATATACTCTGGTGCTTGCATTGCGGCAGATGGATAATATTGGAATAACATCAACCGAAAATATGAGCAATTCCTCTTGGGTCTCCTTCGTACTTGGCGCTTTTCATTGGCATTACACCGACGAATGCATTACCTATGTGACCGATAATGGGCACATTTTTCTTCAGAGTCCTTTCCTAGTACTATTTTTCGTGCTCAGATTATGATCCACGAAGATTAGAAGAATCATGTTCTTGTGGGGGTCAGATTAGGCATGTTTAGTTCGCCATTTGTACTATTTTTTCTGCTTTCTTCTCTTGCGGATAAGATTAGTAATCTGGAGTAACAATGCCAGGCATTGACAGGCGGCGAGGACGCCTACTTCTTGGCCTGTGAGGGCTGGCTGGGTGTGGCAGATGGAGTCGGTCAATGGTCTTTTGAAGGTAATCTGTCTCTCCAGCCGCCCTCCAAATCACGATCACATTTGAAAAGAAAGTAACCAGACGAATTTCTTCTACTCTCAGTTTGTGAAATCTTTATTTTTTCCCTAAAAATGGAATTTTTTTTATTATAGTTAGAATAATTAAAGTAATTATCTAGACTGATTCATTTGGGAAACTGATTTAATCATAAACAGAATCTTATAACTAAAAAAAAGTTATTATTTGGTCTAGAATTCCTCTTCAAAATCAGACGCGAGGGTTGACTTTTCTGCCACGAAGTGGAAGATTTTTTATTTTTTTTAATAAAGAAATGGTTCAATTCCTTGCTCTTGGGATGGAGATCGAATCTAGAACCATGCTTTTTGTTTCTGTTCTGCTGCAATTATATGCCGTGGAAATCGCATATTCAGTTCCTCATCTGCTGCTGCTTCTCTCTCTCTCTCTCTCTCTCCCCTCTCAGGGATCAATGCTGGGCTGTTTGCCAGAGAGCTCATGAACAACTGTGAAAGGCTCGTATCAGACTGCCGGGGAGCTCCAGCGGCTCCGCCGACGCAGATTCTTTCCCAGAGCGCCATGAAATCTCGGTCTCTTGGTTCTTCTACAGCATTGGTGGCTTTCTTCGACGGCCAGGTACCTCTCGATGCTCAAATGTCCCAAGATAAAGATCGAATATTATTTTCGGCACTTTATTCGAACTTTATTTCTGATAAAAAAAAGGGATGAACTTGGGAATAATCTGAGGATGAGATTCTGCCCCCCACGAACAGGCTCTCCACGTGGCAAACATCGGGGACTCCGGCTTCATGATAATGAGGAACGGTCAGGTTCTGCAGAGGTCCACCCCTATGGTTTATGGCTTCAATTTCCCTCACCAGATCGAAAGAGGAGACGATCCCTCCAAATCCATACAGGTACACGATCTTCCATGCTATTACTAGAATAATCTCGCATTAGAAAAATAAAAAATAAAATAAAATCCAAGAACACTCCTCTAGGATCCAAGAACAACCCGGATCTCACATTTTTGTGGATAAATGAATGAACAGATAAATAAATAAATAAATAAATCAGTCAATAGATGAAATTCTGTGATTATACAAGCTCATGCCATGCGAATTTTCTGGGTCGAATGGCCCAACAGTTTCTGCGTCGAAATCTCTCGTTTTAAGAAAATAATACAATCCTGTCAATGTTTGAGTTGACTATGAGCAATCTACGATCGAAGAACACCCAAAAATCTCACATCTAGGGGGCCAAAACATACATATATATGTATATATAATCTTGTTAATTTTGAGTTGACTATGAGCACTCTAGGATCTAAGAACACGCAAATATCTCATATCTAGGGGGCAACAAAAAAAGAAAAAAAGAAAAGGTTTAATCCTGTTTAACTTTAGAGTGGAACGGAAGGTGACCGGAAAAATCTCAGACTTTATGGGCGAGGGAAAAAAAGAAGAATCTTGTGGTCGGAAAATACTCATCGCATAGGCATGTTTCTTCAATCAAACTGGCCTGTAATTTCTCGAAATCTCAGGTGTATAAGCTGGAGTTGGAAGAGGGCGACGTGATCGTAACAGCGACGGACGGCCTCTTCGACAACCTCTACGAGCAGGAAATCATGGCGATCATCTCCAGGTCCCGGGAGGCTGGCACAAGCCCCACTGTAAGAAATCCCCCCCCCCCCCCCCCCTTCGCCTGAACCCTAGTTCTGGCCGGCGACCTGATGAGTGGGCTCTCTGGTTTTTGCCCTAATTTCCAGGAGATCGCGGGGTTGTTGGCCGAGAGGGCGCAGGAGGTTGGGCGGTTGCCGGCGACGAGGACCCCCTTCGCCGACGCCGCCCACGCCGCCGGATACCCGTCCTTCGCCGGCGGGAAGCTCGACGACGTCACCGTCGTGGTCTCCGTCGTCTGTAGCTCGTGAAGCTTGGAGCGGCGCCGCCGTTTGTTTTTCCTTCGTTTCCGCCATTCTTGGAGGATGCTGTAGAGGGGGAGGGCGCGATTGCGCTTACTTCCTCGTTTGGGGGGAGAAATGGGACGAGAGATGTGGTGGTGTTCGATGATTTGATCGAAGATGGAGAAGTTTTTATTCATTCTTCTGTTTGCAGGTTTCTTCTGCTATCCAGAGAGATAAATCTTCTTCTTTAGAGGGAGGAACAGATGTCGATGGGAGGCCGGTTTATTGGGGGGGGGGAGAGAGAGAGAGAGAGAGAGAGGGCCTGGCTGCTTTATTAGGGAAGAAAGATTCTGACCTTGCTCTCTCTCTCTCTAGACATGAGAGAAGTTGGCTCAGGCGAGGTGACAGAGGGGGGACAAGGGCGGCGGTCTCCTTCTCTCTCTCTCTCTCTCGCTTTCTTTCTCTCTCTATCACTTGTACTCGAGGATCATGTTGTTCTCGGGGGCGAGGCCAACGCACGCCCTGAGAATGTTCTCCAGCATGGCCCTCTGCTTCGACAGCGCGTTGACCACCGGCGTCCCTGGTGGCACCTGCTCCCCGCCGCCGCCGCCACCAACAACACAAGATTCGACCGTTACGGCGGCGCTAAGCAGAAGCAGAAGAAGAAGGTTTTTATTTCACTGACCAGCGGGGCCTTGCTCAGGTAGCTCAGGAGGCTCGCCACCGGGTGGAAGGAGTGGAACTTGCTCTGCGAGAAACAGACAAACAAACACCAGAACAGGAGGTTTTTAGAGAGAGAAAGAGAGGGTTTTTAGAGAGAAGGCTTGACCCTAGCACCTCTCCTGCGGCCTTGATCTGGATCCTGGTGGTGAGCTCGGCGAGGAGGACGAGGTCGAGGATGATGGGGGCGGCGAGAAGGGAGTCCTCGCAGGTGTTGTGGAGGACGATGGTGCTCCTTCCCCCCATGAAGATCTCCGAGGTGTACTCGTCCATGGCCCTCTTGCTGTCCCCCACATAAGGCACATACTGCAGCAGGAGGAGAAGAAATGAAAGAGTGAGCGGGCGGCAGCGGAGCAGCGGCGGCGCCACCGGGTGGTGGTGGTGGGTCTGACCTTGATGACGACGACGTGGTCGGGATGCTCGCCGGGCTCGTAGAGGATGCCGTTGCTGGAGACCATGTCGTCGACGACGTTGCTCTTCGATATCTCCTTGGAGCGGAAGGTCTGCGGCGCCGACAGGTTCATCCCGTCGTTGTTCCCCAGGTGGTTGTAGCTCACGATGGACGTCGGCTGCAGCAAGAAGATGAGGAAGACGATGATGAGGATGAGAACGGAGAAGATGAAGAAGCAGGAGCAGGAGGAGAAGGAGAAGAAGAAGACGAAGAAGAAGAAGAAGACGAAGAAGACGAAGAAGACGAAGAAGACGAAGAAGACGAAGAAGACGAAGAAGAAGAAGAGAGACACTAGCGACCAACCTTGATGCCGGCGCCGACGAGGAAGTCCACGAGGACCGACTTCATCTTGGTCTGCCCGCTCTTGAAATCGTCTCCTCCGATGAGGCTGTTCCTCGCGATGGCCATCTCTATCAGACCTGCAGGAAACCGCGCGGCGACAGAGATTCCTCAGTCTATCTGCCGCCGCAGACGGTGGCGGACTGGCGGCGGAGGGAGGAACTCACCGGGGACGAAGGTGTTCTGCGGGCTGCCGTTGATGAAGGGGACGCCCTCGAGGACGCAGGCGATGCTGTACAGGGTGGAGGGGGAGATCTCCTGCTCCCCTCTCTCCAGCGCTGCCATGAGGTTCTCCCTGGTGTCATTCAGCCCCACTGCGACATTGCTGTACCGCTCCGTGTTCGCCGTCCACAGCACTACCACCTTCTCCACCTCCTCCCTCTCCCTGAACTCCCTGCCACGAGAAGATTCTAGGGTTAGGGTTAGGATTAGGGTTGAGTCGCAACTCCTCGCTGGGACCCCGTCATCTTCAACCTCCCGCTACCTGATGTCCCTGATGATCCGCTCCACCTGCTCCTTCTTCGTCCCGCCGAGAATGTTGACTGCGCGAGAACCCTGGTTAGCGGCGATGAAATCGGGGTCGTAGATGCCAGGCAGCGGCACCATGGGCTCCATGTAAGGTCGCAGCTGCTTCTGCAGATCAATGTCCAGCACCTTGGCCCTGGCCATGGCGTCCGCAAGGTTCATCCTGCTAATGTCCCACCCGCCGAAGACTATCTCGTCAGGGTTCACCTGCAGCAGCAGCAGCAGCAGGAGAAGCAGAACCCCTCTTCCTCCATTAGCGCCAATCTGAAGCTACAGCAATGGCAGGGGATGAAGTTGATAGAGAAGGATGGTTGTATACCATGGGGAGGAGGCTCTTGAAAGGGGCGTAGATCTCTTCCCCATTGAAGGATCCCACGCGGATGGCGGAGGCCTGGGTGAGGGAGCCGTAGTAGTTGGCCTGCTGGACCTTGTCCTTGGTTGCCCACGAGATCCCCCTGATATTATCATCAACCAAAACCCTAAATTTCCGAGGAAGAAGACGATCCCACAGAGACAGATCGATCCACCATTACTCACTCTCGGTTGGCGATGACGCCCGCCGTAAGCGTGGATCCATTGTTCCCTCCCCATCCCACGAGCATCACCCTGTCCACACCAACGCCATGATCAGACCCATGAACCAGAAGAGAGAGAAAGGCACACACAGAAGAGAGAGAGAGAGAGAACGAGTGAGATAGAGATAGAGGATGACCCGAGCTTGGGGACGCGGGTGGAGGTCTTAAAATGGTAGTGGACGGACTTGGGCTTGACGATCCACTGGTACGCGCCGTCCCTCACCTCGTGGACGAGCTCCGTCGTCTCGTAGGAGTACACTGACTCGATCTCCTCCTCCCCATACCTGACGTTGGGGCTCTCCACCCTGAACTTCTCTATGAACATCTCTCCCTCTCTCTGCAACTCCCCGCAACTTCCCTCTCCCCCTCTCTCTCTTTCTCTCTGTGCAGGGAGGAAAATGTGGGAGGAAGGAGGAGGCGGGAGGGTCTACGACAACGTCCGGAATCGCCGCCCGCCGCTGGTGGATCTCCTCTCCTTCCAGCTGGCCGCCCCCGAGCGCGTCACCATAAGGCCGCTTTTTATAAGGACACGAGAGAGAGAGAGAGAGAGAGAGAGAGAGAGAGAGAGAGAGAGAGGAACTGCAGCCTGTGGTCTCCATAACCGGCCAGCTGGTAATTCGGGTGTCGCAGGGCAGGATGGAGGTGGCGGAGAGGACGAGGCGAGTGAGCCGAAGGAGGTGAGCGTAAGCGGTAGAACGTGTCGTCCCTAGCACGCCACAAGGCGCCGCGTCATGTCACCAGGCGGCAATGTGGTCCCCACTGTACGGTGCACGCTAAGAAACGCACTTCACCGTGTGAAACTCTGATGGCGATCCCACCATCCATCCTAGTGCGTATTATAGCATCATGGCCACAAAATCAAGGGACGAGATCTCCCAATCGAGCCCGGGGGTCCACTGATGGACTGGGCCGGGCCGCACTTCCTTTATGGGCCCAGGCTGAATATGTGGGCCCCATAAGTCAAAGATTCTCCTTTTTTCTTGCTAGTTGCCCTTTTTTCTACGGATAAACCGATGGAGACACCGCTGTGCCACGTCACCACGTGGGTCACCGCGGAAAGTTTCCTTTGAGCCCTCAAAAGCATCGTATTTGTGACCGTACCCTCACCGAGCCAGAGCTCTCTCCTCTTAATCGTCAGCCCAGAACAGAGATCCGTGGGGACCCCGAGGGCATATATGCAAATCAGATGTTTCAGTGGCGGCACGTGAAATTGGAGCTCCCACGATGATTTCGTTGCCCATCTTCGTCAGCACGCATGTAGACGCTGTGGATGGACAGAACCGTTTAGAGCAAATGTCCTTGTTCTCTACCCATATTAGAACTTTAGAAAGCGAGAGAGAGAGAGAGAGAGCGAGAGAGAGAGAGAGAGAGAGAGAGAGAGAGAGAGAGAGAGAGAGAGCGAGAGAGGTGAAGGGCAGGATGGAAACGGACGATCCTGCTGGTATACTTTATAACATCAACAGCTTTCCTGGAAAAATACAAGAACTTGCGGTCATGTCTATAATAAGAAACATCACCAGCTTCCATGGTGCGCTCCCCACAAAGATCCCACTTTTTTTGCTAGTGCCCGGCACGGCATGATGCCTGCCCACCTCACTCTGTCCACCTCCCTCCCTCATATAAACAGCTAAAAACCTCTGTCTGTCTGTCTGTCTGTCTGTTTCTCTCTCTCTCTCTCTCTCTAGGTTTCAGAGGGATGGATAGCTGCAAATGGCGAGATGGGCTTCCGGATTTTCCCTCTCTACACGTTCAGACATCTGTCGCCAGTTTTGGGGTACAGGTGAGGACGGCCTCTCCGGCGGTGAGGAAGATCTTGTCGTGGCCTATGAGCTCTATGAATCTGGACGCATGCAGCTTCTCCATCACCGGCTCCCCCGGGTTCGCAAGAGCCAGCTGCACCAGAGCGCATCAGATGCCTGTAAGTCTCCTCAGACTTCCCAAAAACAGCATCTGGTTAATTCGAACTACAGATTAAGATTACATCCGCATCCTTCATCCTATATTTAGAAAGCTATGGTTCCGATTATCAGATATCACCCAAGAACGTAGGTTAATTCACAAATGAGAACATAGTCGCTCCAGATTAATCACCTGAACACCCCTCTTCTGTAGGCCCTTATACAGATCTTCCAGGGCGTGGATACCGCTGGTGTCTATGTTGATGACCGCTGATAGAGCAAGGAAAAGGCGAGAAGATTAGATGAGATTTGCGCCCAAAACCCATCTAATTACCGTATTAAGTGGGATTAAGAAGTTGGATCTGATATAGTTTGATTAGTATTACTCACGGGACATCTCCACGATCACAAATTCTATCTTTGGAAGCTGATTCTCCTCTAGCTTCTCCTGCTCATCAGTCAGCCACCTTAGTATCCTGCAAAATATCACATCATTTTTTAGTAATATGACACCTCAATCATGGTCCTATGAGCTTTAATGCTGGCCCAGTCTTGGTGGGCTCGATCAAGTGATTTCCATGAAACCCACACGGTATTGAGAACTATTGAGGATGCTATCTGTTGTGGATTCAGATTGTTTTTTCTTTGTTAGATTTTTTTTCTTTTCCATATATATCCGTTTATTTTCGTTAGATCTTCTTTTCTGTGGGTGTTTGGCAGTAAGATTACTCAAAATAGATTTGATCCTGATTAGTCAAAGCCCATGAAGAATCTCTACCTGTCCTTCACGTAGTTTGAGTTGGAAAAATAAATAGCCGAGTCAACTCTCACGATCATCACCCCAGGAACCCTTGTTGCCTCTGGGTACTGGTCAACGTTCCTATAAATGGTAGTTCCAGGGAGGTTCCCAAGGACGGCGGTCCTCGGTCGAGTCACTTGTAGCAGAATCTTCGCAAATGATATGATCACCTGTTTAGAAGAAAGAAAAAAAAAAAAAAAAAGGGAAAAAACTTAGATCTATCAGTGCCCAACCACATAACCTCGATTATAAATATAGAAGAATTTTTTTAAAAAAAATAAAAATCTCACAGCGATTAGAAGTCCAATTTCAACGGACACAAATACTACTCCAAAGAATGCTCCCAAACAAGCCATGAAATCGAGCTTGTCGATCTTCCAAATAAGCAGGGCGGCATCAATGTCGATCAACCCGATCACCGCCGATATTATAATCGACGAGAGGATCGCATTTGGAGTATACTTGAAGAGGGGAGTGATCACTTCCAGAGTCAGCAACACAACCAAGGACATAATCATATTGGAGACCGCCGTCTGACAGCCGGCCATGTAGTTCACAGCCGATCTCGAGAAGGACCCTTGAAAAAAAAAGAGAAATACTTAATTATGGACAAAAAAACCCATTTCTGGTAAGCTCATTAATGCCCAAGTTATCTCAATCCGTCTTGTTAGATCTATAGATCTTCCCTCTCCATACCTGTAGCCACATAGCAAGAAGTCAACGAACCGACGATGTTCATGGTCCCGAGGGCCACCATCTCCTTGTTCCCATCCAGCTGGTAGTCCTTCATGGCCGCAAATGTCCTCCCTATGGCCACAGCTTCCTGCAATACCTCTCATTGTTTAGGATTATGGAACTATCTATAAATAGGTAGGACTATTCATGTGGGCAGGATAATATATGCCGCCGACAGACCGTCAGAGCCACCAGGCCAGCCACAATTCCGATCTTGAAACCCTTCCCGGTGTACGAACCCGTGAAGTAGATTTCATCAGCCGATGATGGATTGATGCCTGTTTCGATTTTATTCACCTGCCAGATGCCACCACGCGCTTCAGGGATCATGAAGAGAAGGAACAAAGAGATTCTAGAATGAATTCTGATGGGGGGGAGTGGTACTTACGATCTGGACTCCCTTGTTATTAGCGTGAGTGATATAGACGAAGAACGTTGCCAGAATCACAGAGATGAGCGGGGCGATTGCCGGCACCCAGAAGAACCTCTTATTCTTCTTTCCCTGATCAGGGAAATAGAGTAAAAGGGTGGGTGAGAGTTTTTTTTTTTTTTTTTCTGGAGTTGACTTTTGGGAAATAGGCGGGCATCTTGGTTCATACGATGTATTTCGCCAGAAGAAGGAAGGCAAGGAATGAGGTGCCGATGAGAATCGTCTGCCAATTCCACTGCAAACCAAGGAAAGAATCGATTGAGCTAGGTTAGAGAGAGAAAAGATGATTTTTTATTTATATTTATTTTTTATTTTTGAACTCACCCCGTGGTGGACAGAACCCCAGACTGAGCGCATGACTGAGATAATATCTGTGTTCTTGGTAAAATTCTTTATGCCAAGGAGACCCTTGAGCTGCTGGAGGGCGATCGTAATGGCCGCTCCTCCCATGAACCCCACAATGGCAGAATGGGACAAGAACTCGATCACAAAGCCCAACCTGAGAAAACGGCACACATAAGTGGGCGCGAGAGAAGGAACAAAACCAAAACTGGAATCACAGTATAGTTGCAGAGCCTTGAGAGGAAAATGGCCCCGATAATGGAATTGTAGCCCCTTTCAATGTATGAAGAAAATAAAGCTTGGAAAGGAATGATATGAGCCACTTGGGGAAGATCCTCTCGACCAGATCACCTGAGCAGTCCAAGAGTAGCCTGAGTGAGCCCAGCGAAAAATGTTGCAGTGAACGCCAGCCTCTTGTACTCGACGGGATATTTATCAGGATCGATCTCGTTCTGAAGAAGAGTTCCCAGCAGGAGGGACACTACAGCTACAGGTCCAATGGCGATATCTCTCGAGCTCCCCATGGCCGCATAGACCAGTGGCGGAACGAAGCTCGAGTCTGAAAAGGATTTGAAAGAGGAGGAAACCATTGAATTGGGAAGAAAAAGCTGAGATTTTCAGGTCAAAGATTCTGACTGTATGAGCGGTAGAAGCTTGCTTACAGAGCCCATTTTCTGGGGGGAGCTTTGCCAGCTTGGCGTACCCAATATCCTACAAGATTTTGGGAAAGAACGCACCGTTGGAATGCAGATTATGCGGCCGCAAGCAACGATGGTGTGAATTTACATGAATTATTGTTACCTGGGGAATACACAGGCTGGCAATGGTGAGTCCAGCGACGAGATCCCCCTTGAACTTGGTCAAGTCGTAGCGCCTCCCCCAGTCAAGGATGGGGAAGAAGGCCTGGAGGCCCAGAATGATCTTCTTCCTCTTGGATTGGTCCTTGAAAGGGCGCAAGGGGTCGTCGTGGAAGAGGGTCTCCTTCACGGTCTCTTTGAACTCGCTCAGAAGCCTCCGGCGGGGGGGGAGACCCACCTTGTAGACCGATTTAGCATTCTGTTCCTGGTGCTCTGAAGGCCCATCGTTAGCCACCTCTGCTTCTCTGGCGCCACCGGCGTCAGAAACAGATCGGCCCATCTCCGATTCCCGCTTATTAAATTAGTTCATAGCATGAAAGTTCGCCTGTGGAAGAAGAGCAAGTCTCACAATGAATCCAGAATCGGGCAGATATGGCGGAGATCGCGGAGACGAGGACCCGAAAAGGAAAATGAACCGATCGTTCTGCTCTTGAATCGGAAAATAAATGCCTGGTTCGCTGTTTAAAAAAAAAAAAACGGAGCAAGAAAACGGAAGAATTACCTGACAGAGAAACCCACGGATCGCAGAGTGAGTCCTGCCCGCTCGCCCTCTCCTTAACGAAAGAGGAATAAAATCACGGACGCGTCTCTGCATGCCAGATATAACTTTCTCGGATAAGACAAGCAGGCAAGTGCCGAACTTTCCCCCCTTTTCTTTGACTTCCACAGGATGGATTCTTCCCCCACTCTCACAAAGGGGAAACGGGGGGTGAGATCACGAAGAAGATCAAGAAGCGGAGAATTCAGAAGGCAATGCGCCCGGAGTTTTTTAATAATCGGAAAGGAACCAGTGATTAACTACCAAGACCTTGAGGCAAAGATCGAGGGAAAGCTTACCAATCCCGAGATACAGGGCCGTAGTTCCCGGGCTAAGAGTGCCACACGGCCAAACTGCCCCAACTCTCTCTCTCTCTTCCGGGTTCGTCTGTACTGACAGTGCCGTGCCCACCGAACATGATCCTTTTAGCCGTAGAAAGCCCTAATCTAGAGTGGTGTGAACCCAAAGGCATCATCCCGGCCGATCAGGTTACATCGAGCGCTACAAAGTTCAACGCCGGTCCCCAGGTGGATCCCGCCGCCGGCGGCCGCCGTTGTGGCTCCTCTCACACCACAACGACCAGAACTTTCAAATGGGTGGAGCTAAAAGAAACTGTTTCTCGCCCTATGATCTCCGCCGTCGATGAGGACCCGAAACCCCGGAGTACGCCCACTTTATTCCTTGCCACCTTTTGTTTGAAAGTCGAATTACGTCTAGGTTCGATGAATTTAATCTTGAGTCAGGAACATCGCTGGCCGTTGCCCATTGAAGGAAGGATTGACTCGTCTCCATTCCGATGTAACTAATTCATTTACATTAATTATTTTAATACAAGTCGGCCGCGTAACCATCAATGCTCTCTCTCTCACTAACTCTCTCTCTCTCTTCACGTGCGAATCTCCCTTCAGGGTACGCAATGCTCTCTCTCTCTCTCTCTCTCTCTCTTCTCGTGCGAATCTCCCTTCAGGATAGTCAATGTTTGAAAAAGTCAACAAGCTAAGCCAAATTTAAATCTTGTTAAAAAAAAGCAACAATAGTCAACATTTAGGGTTTTAAAGTCAACAAAAACGGATGCTCATAGTCCAACTAAACTTGCATTATGGTATAATATATAATAACAAAAGATCTTACAATCAACAAGTCTCTCTCCCGTGTGTGTAAGACTATTCTTTGCCCTATACTCAATTAACAACTGGTGACATGGAAGGGGAGTGATGCACATGTGTCCCCTACTAGTTTATCTTTAGCTGCTCGAGCCCACTACTCGTGGCTCTACATAATCGTGCTTCTGACTCATTTACATTACTTTGCGGCCCAATTGACTAGCAAGTTCCTCTATTTTCTAGCTTTTTATTTATTTATTTATATTCATCTCAAATAAAGAATTATATAAATTCACATAAAATCACATAATTAGCTGAAAATATATATTTACTAATTAAAAATAACTTTTTATAATTTAACAGAAATATAAATATATTTATCATGAGTTAAAGCTAAACCTATATTATTAATTAATTATTAACTTATGATAATGAAGACTTATTATGATCAATTTTAAAATTTTTAAAACCAAATCTCTCAAAAATATGCTATTAAAGTTTCATTTAAGATGCATAGTGGATTTGGGCTGATCCTCAAGGAAAGTGTGATACTACGTAATATATAAATATTTTTTGAAAAAAAATTGACTTAGAAGGAAAATACAAAAAAATGAAAGAATCAAAAACCTATGTAGAAAATTTAAGAATCTAAAAATTAGTTTAAAAGAAAACTCTTAAATCAACTCACAAGAGAAATTTAGTAAAGAGCAACACACATTCAAAAAACCAGCAGCCTAGCCACTAGTAGAGTGTTGATTTTTTGTTTAAAAGAAGTCTCTAAGTTGTATTAGAAATGATGAAAAATGTACAAATAATGAACAACATTCAATAAGTATTGGAAACTTCACATAATCCATCAGAATCCTTGAGTAGAAGTAGTATTTAGAATATATATATATATATAGATTAAATTCATGAGGTTGTCAAAGCTTCTAAATCAAAGTTTTAGAACTCTTCCGCCATATTTATTATATAATAAATATGATATGACTTTATCATTGTCTAATAAATCATAAAAAAATAAAATTTATAAACCTAGAGTATATCATTTTTTTACATTTTTATAATAAATATGATGTGACTTTATCATTGTATAATAAATCATAAAAATTTAAAATTTATAAACCTAGAGTATATCAATTTTTAAAATTTTTAAAAGTATTTTAATAAATTAATTAGAATTTAATAAAGGGTTCTAAACATAGTAGAAACTTTGAATGTCAATCTCAAAGATGTAAAATAATATTAAGTAAAATTTTAGAATTTTCCATAAAAAACTAGACTAAATAATAAAAAGAAATTTATTTCAAAATTCACAAAAAAGATATATTTGGGTGCGGACATCAAGACCACGTTAGTGCTTCGATGAACAAAATTGAGATAAAAATAGAGTTATGCTTGACAATTCTAACATAGACAATTACAAATGATTTAATTGGTCAAGTTAAGATAGGTAAAAAAATTTTAAAAATATATTTTATTAAAGAAGAGTTTCAAAACTTGAAGTCATACAATCTCACTAATTTAAGTAAGAATTAAGTTTAAAATATGAAAGACATAGTTTTGATGTCATGACAATGATTGTCAAAATTCTAAATATTTGACATGATTTTTGTATAATGTCTAGAACCTCAAAGGCTCTTCTTAGGCATTGATGATGTGGGCAACCTCTGAATTCTCTTGCGAAGTCTAGAAATTGATGATATGGGTTGACAAATCATCTTCGACGACTATCACTTGGTAAAGTGAAAATCTGATGGCTCTTGGATCTTTAACGAGTGTCATCTAGTTGACATGAGCTAAATGAAAGTGAAATGCATCTCAAAGAGCTTCTTCCTCAAATTCGTGTTGTGAGAAGAGGCTTGTATCACATTTGGTTTAATTTTGAAGAACCGGCGACTCATGTGTAAATTATTCTCTTCTCAATAATGGCTCATTCGTCGATCAATTGAATATAATTTTTATCAAAGAATCTATAATTTTTATATTCAAAATATTTTGTCAATTATTAATGATGATTTGTGAATAACGTTGACAAAATTTTTATTGATGATGAAGTGATTATGTCGATTGAATTGTTGACGAATGTTATGTAGAAAAATCATAATCTAATTAATTGAAAATATAAATTTTGACTTTAGTGAAATTTAAACCCTCGTTAGTCACTCGATTGCATAAAAGAGAGAATGTGAATTAACTATATCCTTGACTCAATGGGATCATAGAGATATTTCCTTCATCTAAGTCAAGGGTATTATAAGTATAAAAATATTAAAACCTATCAACATCCACTAGCATTAATTTAGTCTCACATCAGTTATATTTCAATATTTGAGACACACATATCAATACTTCTTTTAATATCAATGTACACATCAGCCTATGTACAATTATTCTTTGCCCCATGCCCAACTGACCACCAGTGATGACGTGGAAGGGGAGTGAAGATTTTGCAGCTGCAAACAACTATGGCGTGAGAAGTATACTGAATTTACATGAATTATTGTTACCTGAGGAATACACAGGCTGCCAATGGTGAGTCCAGCGACGAGATCCCCCTTGAACTTGGTCAAGTCGTAGCGCCTCCCCCAGTCAAGGATGGGGAAGAAGGCCTGGAGGCCCAGAATGATCTTCTTCCTCTTGGGTTGGTCCTTGAAAGGGCGCAAGGGGTCGTCGTGGAAGAGGGTCTCCTTCACGGTCTCTTTGAACTCGCTCAGAAGCCTCCGGCGGGGGGTGGGGGGAGACCCACCTTGTAGACCGATTTAGCATTCTCTTCCTGGTGCTCTGAAGGCCCATCGTTAGCCACCTCTGCTTCTCTGGCGCCACCGGCGTCAGAAATAGATCGGGCCATCTCCGATTCCCCCTTATTAAATCAGTTTATAAGCATGAAATCCGCCTGTGGAAGAAGAGCAAGTCTCACAATGAACGCAGAATCGGGCAGATATGGCGGAGGAGATCGCGGAGACGAGGACTCTGAATGACCGGAAAAGGAAAATGAATCGATCGTTCTGTTCTAGAATCGGAAATAAACGCCTGGTTCGCTGTTTCAACAAAACAAAGAAAACAGCGAAAGAACACGGAAGAATTGCCTGACAGGGAAACCCACAGATCGCAGAGTGAGTCCTGCCGCTCGCCTTCTCCTTAACGAAAGAGGAATAAAATCACGGTAGCGTCTCTGCATGCCAGATACAACTTTCTCGGATGAGACAAGCAGACAAAGGCCGAACTTTCGCCCCTTTTCTTTGACTTACACAGGATTCTTCCCCCACTCTCACAAAGGGGAAAGGGTGGGTGAGATCACGAAGAAGATCAAGAAGCGGAGAATTCAGAAGGCAATGCGCCCGGAGTTTTTTTAATAATCGGAAAGGAACCACTGATTAACTACCGAGAACTTGAGGCAAGATCGAGGGAAAGCTTACCAGTCCCGAGATCTAGGGCCGTAGTTACCGGGCTGAGAGTGCCACGGGGCCAAACTGCCCCAACTTTCTCTCTCTCTCTCTTCCAGGTTCGTCTATGCTGACAGTGCCGAGCCCACCGAACATGATAAATGCCCTAATCCTCAGAGCGGGGAAAAAAACTCGAGTTCATCGCCCGACCGCGCAGGTTACAGCGATTACTACAGCGTTCAACGCCGGTCCC